GGATTCTCTTCAAGGTATTCATCTAGAAAAGTTATCTGTTGCTCATCAGCAAAATGGCCTTTACCTCGTCTCTTTCCTTTTCCTTTTCCACGAGGTCTAAAGAATCTACGGCCTGATCTTCCTTTTCCTTTTCCTTTCCTTCTACCTTTTCCTTTGCCTTTTCTAGCTCTTCTTCCTTGGAATCTCCTTTAGAACCATGAGAAGTTTTGATCATCATATACCCAAAAGACATCGTCCAGGGCATCTAAAAATCCTTCTGTTCCATCTTTTTCATCTTCGGCCCAATAGCCAAATGTACCATCGAGTTCTCCTTCGTCTAGTACGAGAAATGATCTTCTACCTCCAGCACCTGTCAGCTACATCAATGGATTGTCTACTAAAGTCTTTGTCGTGCAGAACATCTCGATGAACACTGTCCTCAACTCTGTTATAGTATATTGCTGCAAGTACCTGCCACGATGAGTCATCAAAGAAGTCAAAGTGTTTCGCTGGTCCTGAGACAAATCTACAAGTGACAGCATAAGTAAGGCAATGAAATTCTCTCCTAAAGGAAATTCGTTCTGATGAAGAATTCTCATATTGCCATTGACATTCTGCATGATTTCCTAAATCCTTTCTGGCGTTGGTGCTACTCCAGTCAACACTGCATCTGCCATCTGTGCAAGGACTTAGGGATGTGCTTAAATGACTGATTCTAACATATCCATCCAATTGCTCATAAGCCTTTAGAGTAAAATCTGGAATCTTGTCATCCATTTCATCATATCGATTAATCCTCGATTAAATCGCACGAATTGCATAAACCTGTATAGGAATACATTGGTTAATCCTTTCACGAAATATGGTCGTAATACTCGTTTAAAGTAATCTATTCCTGCTCCTAGTGGCTCATTAACCTTCAATGAATCTCTGTCTAATATACGTTTATATATTGCTGCTTCTCCTTCTAATCTGTTTCTCAAAATTGGTCCTTTCTTCTCTTCTTCCAACTCGGTGATATCACACCAATCGTCTATAGCATCCTCATAGGAAAGCCATGAAGTCTTTCCATCATAAAATGGAGGCATCTTTGTAGTGACCTGTCTTATCATTGCTATTGCTGCTGGTTTTCTTCTCACATGCCTATTCACGTAAGTTGCTGGCTCATAAGCCACATCCGCATCAAGCTCTTCCCGATCGTCTATCCAATCCATAGCTGTTTGCCCACTAGCAATTCTATGCCTAGGAAAGGAACTCAGCTAGGTCTTCCAGGATCACTGCTCCGCTATCACTAAAAGAGTGACTAAGGCGTACACGATAGAGGTGCAGACCGCTAGTGTCTTTTACTCACGCAGAGTCTTATCCTTTTAAATCCATTAACCCTCTCTTAAGCCTTAAAGCAGTCAAGCATGGACACACTATATCAACTATTGGAGTGGAACCCTATACAGGTAGGCTCTACTTTTCAGGGGGGAGATGTGGGGGGGGGTCTTCGACCTGAAAAATCAGGGGTTAAGATTTGCACCCGGTCGAAAGAAACCTTACTATCGCAAGAGTAACTCCAGCTAACTTCGCTAGCTTTCGTAATAAAAATTAAAACCAAATAACGACGACGCAAAATAAAAATATTCCAATACCAAATACAAAACAAAAAGAATTCAGATAATTTAAAATTACCTTTCGTAATATAACGAAAATACCATAAAATATTACCAAAACACTAAATATTAACATAATCCCACCTCAACATAACCAAACAACACTCACACTAGACGAAACACCACTCAAACATATTTAAAATACAACCTAAAAAATTACCAAAAAAACACCAAAACTTATACAACCGAAACACGACCCAAATATAGGCGAACCACCGCCAAAAATACAACCGAAACACCACCCAAACAAACCTAAACATAAGCCACACACCACCCAAACATAAACGAGACACCAACGAAACATGAGCGAGGAACCTATAGATTTTAGGACTAGTTTACAATAGTAAATTGATTAATATGTTTGGAAATCTATGTCTACCAAATCCAATCCATTATATATTCCAAACATATATTGGTTGATAAAGATTGCTAACCTTTAAGTGATATGCCACCACCAAACTCCATCCATTGCAAGATTAATATAATGTCCATCCTTGGTTCTTTTGCAAAACGGGACATGTGGAATCGTTTCTGAAATATATCCCAATCTTTGTGGAATTAAAATAATGAGAGGTTTATGCACGGGGCACTTTGGATGGTTCCAGCGTTTATCCGGATCATGATTGTCCAATGTACGAATTAAACAATTAATGTTTCAAAAGTTAATCTCTCGCGTCCTGGATTTGTTTCAGCTCTAAGGCATGCCGGGAGCAACAACTGAGACTCTGGTTGGGCACCTCCTTGGCTCTCCCTAAAGCACCCTCCCAAAGCTGGTCCCAGGACCGGCCAGCCATTTTACGAATCACCACTTGGCCAGCTCCCTGGCCAACTCTTGAAGTGAGCTTCGTGCGTCATCCGGTACTCCGAAACAGCCCAAAGTAGCGGAGGATGCCTGCCGGGATCATGTCTGAAAAGAAAAAACATGGAAATCCACGCAGCGCAGCCGGGCTAAGCTGTCAGGTGCTTCTGGGTCCCACTCTTCAGGCGAGTGTGCCTGGAAACAGACTGGAAACAGCTTCTTGCGTAGACCCATTGTCTGTCTTGAAGACTGGGGCCAAAAAAATCGAGGAATCACCCCACCAAGGCCAGTCCAAACACAGTGATCTGTAGGCAAACAACGTGGCACCTGGAAAACCGAAAAATTAGTGTTTTCACAGTTGGCAGAATGCCTGTTTTCTCCAAGCTGGATCCATGTCTTGTCTTCTGCGCCAGCACCACACTTGCTTTGGCTCCATCTGCGCCTTACCGTGAAGTCATGCCCAGCGACTATGCCACCAGGCCGAACACGTTGCTCCCAAAGGTGCAAGTCCTCAAGGCTCTCACAACAATAAAAAAGTTGGAAAGGTCAAGAGCAACACTTGCTGCCAACACTTGAGTTGGTGAAGGTTAAGAGCAGGCCCCACGATGATCCGGATGCTTCGACTCGAATCCTGGCTGGTGAATCCAGTTTGGGAGTCGGAAAAACCTTCAACTTTTAGCACTGCAAACGACCAAAAACAAACCAGGAGTCTCATTTCTGCCCTGTCGTTCTGGGCACCCACTGCCGATGCTGCGGTTGTTGCTAGGCAAACACGTGGTCATAAAATGCATGTCTCACGTTGTGTGTGTGTGTGTTGACATATTATCCGTCCACAAAAAGGATGCCGAATCAAACAAAAGAGATGCAGCACTTGCAAAAGGGAGGAAATTAGTTCTGAAAGTGTTGCAAAAGGGTGGCAAGGCCACCTTGAACCATGACCGCACAAACAAACCACCACCCTTAGGAATGTGTGGTCTTTACAAGTCAGACTGCGGTCTTTGCAAGTCCAACTCAAAAACAAAAAGAGATGCAAAACATATTGAAATCGTGTCTGCCGATAAGCACAATGCAATCCTTCGGTCTGATCACGTCGGGTTACGGGTTTGTATACCTTTTTCTGCTACCCTTTCTATCAGGGTCTCGTGGGAGGCTGTGTGGATAAGTCGCTCGGGCGATTTCTGGGTAACACCACTGCGTCTGGCACGATCCCATCATCTCCCGTCGATTCTCCGCCCATCGGATGCATCCAATGCATTCATCATCCAACCCAACCGACCGCACCGGTCTCGCACCGGTCCCGTCCGGTCGGGCCCAGCGGCATTCCGCACGTTGGCGTAGGTGTGAGGCCCGTCGATGAAGACGAAGTCCATGAGAGGACCGTCGGAGAGCCTGGCGGGACGCGGTAGAAGGCTGTCCCCCTGAACCCCTCACATTGAAAAATGTGTGAAGTGGTAGTAGAGTAGAAGATGAGAGAAAGCGGAACACATCACCATGTTCCTCCTCGGCGCCTAATGTATGCACCTCAGTTTATTTATCTACTTGACGTTGAAAAGAAAAAACTGCTGCATCCCATTCATGTTCTGTGGACCTCGTGTGCATCTCTTCGCTGGTGGTGGCAAAGAGCTGTGCACGCTCTGCATAGGGCCTTGTTGAAAGCTGGGCGCCTCTACCAACCATCTTGAACCATCTTGGCTCACCATTTAGCAGGGTTGAAGGGAATGTCATAGAAGCTGTATAGGGCCCAGTCTAATCCACATATCCAGTGGGTCTTCAATCCAACTTGTTGGATCTACACTACACTACGCTTCGCTGTGTCCAGAACGGATTCCAACCACCGCATCCTTCCCGAGAATGCAATCGGAATAGATGAGCAAATTGCAAACCAATGCTTCTGGTATATACCTCTGCAAAGTGGTGTGTCTTCAGATCATGTCATTCCTGCAAGCAAACTTAGCATTCCAACAAGTTAGCTGATCCCCCGATCTGAAAAAAACACGGAAATAGCCACACATAGACCTGCGAAATAAACACACTTTAGAAGTGGAAGCATCTAGATACTACTGGAATCTCCTAGGACTCGTAGTCGGTCTGGAGCCAAAGCACTGGTAGGCCTCTCGCACCTCCTCTTTAATCGTAGGATCTGCCCCGTAGTATTGGAGCCCTGAGAAGCGAGCCAACAAATGCAAGCCTCGGACACCCCCTGGACCGAGAAAAGTGTCAAAAGCTGGGTGGAGAGAGTGAAGGGGCACTCAGACGCTTTGTCTTTTGCAAGTCAAAGTATCCGGGCAACGTGTGGCCTTTGAAATCTCTGATTGAAAGCCATAGAAAATCCTCATCCTAGCAACTTTGCATGTGGAAGAAAGTCCAATGCGAGTCATCTCGTCAAATGCGAGTCACCTCCAGAAACAGTCAAGTCGCAAGTCATCATGTGTCTGGTCTCTAAGATTGGCAGGTCCCACACGGGAAATCGGTTGGGCTCAAATCGATTGCGGTTGCAAATTAATCACAGTGCAATCCTGGTTCAACAGTGTCCCTAATGAAAAATCACTGTATTGGCCTCAGGTCCCCTCCCTTGCTGCAAGAACATATTCAGCCAGCAAACATTGGCTTTCACTAAGCGACCCGGATCTTGCAGCGACTCTAATTACATCAGACTGCATCATCTGGAACTTTCCCAAGCAGATCAGATCATCCAAGCACCTGTGGCACCCTCCATCCATGCCTAATTTCCGAATTGTTCGAGCCACCAATGGGACCACAAGCAACTCCAAGCTCAGCCATACGAAGCTCTGGCCCCTGGCCACACAACACCCATGTCTCGGAGTCCATCTGGCTGCAAAGTTGCTTGGCTTAGTATAAGTATAAGATAAGATGCAACTTTGAGGAAAAGTTGTGATAATACTCATATAATCCCATAGACTAGGCACGATGTCCAATGTGATGTCCACATTCACTCTTCGATGTCCTGCAAAAATCGAAGCCACTGAAGCCACCATACGTGTAGCTTTCTGCCGGATGGTCCTTCACTGCCCAAGTCGGCCTTGTCCTCCTCAAGGCTGGACAAAAGCGCCTCCAAAACATCGAAGTGCCTCCAGAGGTCCAGAGGCGACCACTGGAAATGCCTTCATTGAGTGCGTTCTTGGGTTCGTTTCGGACCTTCCCAAGCAGAAATTAGCCAGGCAAAGGGAAACCAGTCTTGACATATTCAACATTGTACTGCGCATATTCACATACTTACTGCACATATGCAGAAGGAAGGGCTCGCAACGAGCCAATGTACTGCATACTGTAGATAGTCTAGAGTCTAGAGTCTAGTGTGCTGTACATATTCAAAAACTTTTCCCCGTGTTCATGTCAATCTGGCCCATCCCAAGCACGCTATTGAGGTCTCCTTCTCATCGAAACAAACCCCTTGGCCTGCCATAGAAAGGCTGGATGCGGTAAGTGGGCAACTGGCTCTGAATGTTCGGATAAACCCCCTTAGGTCACCGTGAGATCAGCGAGATGATCAGCCAGTTTCTCAGTCTGGAACTTGACCAAAGACCTGGCATTGCCAGTCGTACCCACAGTGCTAGTTTGCAGACTACGTGAGTCTCAAAATGTCCACCCACATACCTGAAGTCTCATTGCTGACCTCGCTTTAAACAAACATCCACGTCGAACCTCGGAAAGAAAGACCCTCCCTTCATGTCTCGCTCTCTCGAGAAGCAAGAAGGTGCGTCTCCTAAGAGTTCTTACATGTCAATCCTCGGCACATTGGGCGGCTGCCCCAAGCGGCCGACTGCTCCTCCCCAACATCGACATCTCTGCTAGACCCAAGTGGCTGAGAGCTCCAAGACCAACTGCTTCAAGCCCCACACGGTGCGCGAATGCTCGACCACCTGGCGCGCACGTCACACGGATCCCGAATGCTCGACCACTGGCAGAAGCGGCATATATGCGCTTCTTCCAGTGCGTGGGGTCACACGCTTCCCGACACCAGGAGCCCCCCAAGCAAGCGGCTCGTCTGGCGGGGGTGATGTTGCGGTCTTGACAATGTAAACACGCGTTCTTGCTCCACTGAGGTGGATTACGAAAAACCTCCATGACGGGGAAAATGAATGGACCCTATCTTTCAAATACTAGAAGAATGATGATGATGATGATGATGATGATGATGATGATGATCATCATCATCATCATGATCATGATCATCATCCACAAAACGATCATCAGATGTTCAGATTGCTCTCATTCTTCTTGCCTTGTCTCTTCAATCCGGAAGTGCCCGGTAGTGACATGTGGGTCCCATGGGCCAGGGCCAACACTCGCAATCCTTCGTTCTCTCATCCAAGGCACCAACCGAGCGGTCCTTCCAAGCTCCAATGCCAGCTCTGACAGAACTCTCTCGCTGGCCCCAGATGCCAAGAAGACGAGGGAAGTTTTGCCCTCGGAACTTTGCTTCTCCTGCGCCTGCACGGCCGCTGGGTGAGTTGAACAACTCCAAACAGAGACGTGGCCAGGCGGCTGCTGGCTAAAAGCTAGCATACCCAGTGAAGACTGACCATCCCAGCAGAAGTCCGCAGCAGTGAATTGTGGCATTTGATTCTCAGCCTCTTTCTGGAATTCCAAAGGTGGATGATTACCTTGCTGCCATGTATGATCAGAATCAACTGCCTTCACCCCAATTTGTCAGCTTCTCAGCTGAACCTTTGGTGTCATAAGCGATTGGCCATCACCGTCTTCGGTGCTGTGCCTGTGCCAAAGCGAGGTTTGCTCTGCCCAAGAGTGCCAGAACACTATCATTCCGTCCCAGAACCACCTCCAAGACGTTTGATCTCAGCCTGCACCAGTGCGACAGGAGTGAGTTTACTGTGTGACTTTGTCTTCAGCTATCCGCCTTCATAGAGAACACGATGGATGTAATATGCATCCCATAGCTGCTATATAACTTGAGAAGCGGGAACGAAAGAAAGAGAATGCTTTGCCCGTTCCCACCACCAGCCATAAGCACCAACAAGACTTGCGTGGAATGCTCGAACACTAAGCTGGAACAAAAGTCACTCCAAAAAATGATGCTGTAACTGCACGTCCTTAAGCGGGGGGATAAGGGGGGGGCCTTCCTAAATCAAGACGAAATCCATTCGTTAGAGGAGGGGTACCAATTTTTATGGTGCTTTTTGTAGTGATAAATCAAATCGATCCTTTGGTCTTCTCACACAACCCGCACGGCTGCGACTGCGCGGCCTTTCAGTGTGGGCCCGGCTCAGCTCCTCGAAAGGTGGAGTTCTCCACCAACGGCCAAGGCCGGAGTTGCTTCGGGGGACCCGCACCCAACCTGTTTGGTAGTCTATTCGTCCTTTGCCAAAAGGTCTGACTGGAGGGTCTATCCCATGATCCTAATTCAATACAGTACACACCCGTCTGAAAATGAGAACCCCCCAACCTTTGGGCCCTTGAAACCAGGATGGAATGGATCGGATCCTGGGTGCCCAAAATGAGCGGTGCCAGTTGACCGGAACAGAGCATATCCTCGTGACTGCGCGATGTAATTCGCTACTGCTTCAGTGGTGGAAGGAGGAGGCTGCTATGAGCTTTGAAGAGGGCATTTGGAGTGTTCGGCGAGTAAACGCCCTCCGATACCAGCGGTTTCTGCCGTCACGCTGCAGGAACCACTGAGAGCCTTGATGCCTGTGAGAGATATTGAGTGCGTTCATCAGTTTCTGGTAGATGAACATCCAATGATCGCGTGCTTCCCCATGTTTGTTGTGCGGTTCCATACTACTGGCCCAGCGTCCGACGGCTTTGCAACCATCAGAGTTTCGAAGCTAGGACCAGGACAAGCAAACCGGTTGGTAGGAAAGCAAATTATGGCTCACGCGTTGCTGTAAGAAGAGAGAGAGAGAGGGGGAGAGTTGGTGGACACGAACCTGCAGTTCCCAATAAGCCTTGCTCAAACTCAAAATCCTTATGTTTCAAGACCCCGAGCCATACACGTGAGTGCAAAAAAGTAGCAGGAATTTCGGAATCCCACACAGTCGGGTCTGCTCCCGTCATTCCAACTGGCGTTCCCACGCGTTGTTTCCGCGTCCGCCGCGTCCGGCATCCTTCCAACGTCGCTGGAGCGCCGCAAGCGCCGTCTCCCGCGCCCGCAGGAAGCAGCTTTGAGGCTCCTCGAAGGGTCAACGTAAAACGTATGATAAGGGGGCGGAGCTCGTTGATCGGTTTTGCCGAGATCTCTATCTACCGGAAGTACTTTATATTTGATAAGACCAAGGAAGGTTCAAAGGAAGGATCCAAACAGGATGGTGGAGTGAAAAAGGCTCACCTTGAGCGTGGACAAATTGCTTTGATGCGATAGCTTCTTGCTTTATGCGATAACGTTCCTGAAAAATGCACAACGTCGCTCAACGTCGCTCGCTTGTGATGGAATGTGAAAGGCATCCAAACAAAAAGAACGCCTGCCTCCGTGTCAGAACAAAGGTCTGGAGCTCGTACAGCGCCTCCAAGGTACTCATGGCAATCAGCAAAAACAGCTCCCTCTCAACATTTGCTGCTGAACCACTGCCGCCGCCACCACCACTAGACCAAATCACTACCACGCCCGCCGCCGGCACCGCCACCACCACCATCTCTCTATTAACTAGCAGAACGCACTGCAGCAGCCGCTGCAGCAGCAGCAACAACAACAACAACAACAGCAGTAGCGAATGCTCGGAAGCCATCCAAGTTCTGGACGCCCTTGAAATTGTAAACACAGCACCGATTGCAATCGCTTTGAAAAATGCCGTGGAAATCAATAGCAAAACACTGCTGTACTAGGTTTTGGTCTATTGTTTCCTTTTTTCCTTTGCACAGACCAACCCATCTGGAGGCGCCACGCTTTGCACCTTGCCACGTGAAGATGGAGAGGAGTTGTAGTGCTTCACACTGCTCGACCACGCGTCGAGTCTCCTTGTGTCAAAGTGCGGGCACACCTATAATTACAAAGAAAAACATTCCAAAGGGACATCAACAGGAAAAATAAACTCCCTTCTAGAACAGCTGATCTCACTTCGCCCCTCTCTGATGAAGGGTGCCCCAAAACCGCCAAACCGATCGTCCTGCGTCGCACCACGATAGGACAGGTACTCCTCGCTGGGCAGCGCCGCCAGGCTCCAAGCCTTCAAACGGATCTGTTGCGTCTCCAAAAGTACCCGTCATTTTTCAGGTCACCGGTCACCACAATGTTGACTCTTCATGAAGAAACACCCCCACCTGTGAGATGTGACCGAGAAATCTCAAAGGTTCCACAGGCGGGGGTGATATGAAAGGTCCCCATGGGTGCTTCACCGGGCGTACCGGACACGCATCTGCACACCTCCCTCAGGCACAAAATTTGATCAATTCTGTTTGAATGCAACCTCGCGGCCTCAATGCCTGAAGGACCATCACCTCAAAACTTGGGGACCAGGAAAGTGGGGGTGAAGAAAACAAAAAAACAGCTGACTTTCGCTGCTGGAAGATTATATGCGCAATTCGTTCAAAACTCTCTTGCAAGGCCACCCCTGCCTCCCGCTGGATGTCCACCGGGAACATCAGCAGGAGGTCGCAAACCTGCTGCGAAACAGGTCCGCCGTGGAAGCCGAACGGAAGAAGAGCCCGCCGACTGAAGAGCTTATGAACAACTTCTACGCTTTTCTCCATCTTTCCCCCCAACCATCTTCCAGTGCTGTTCAAGGGTTCTATCAAACAGCCGACGTCTTATATAGTGCTCGTCTACGCTTCTTGGCAATGCATTGTCAAAGTAAGCCCCCGAGTACCTACTTAAAAAGCCTCCCCAATTAAAAAGCACAACGTCCGAAGCCCTAAGTTCGGCTTATATGTGCTTTTGAGTTACCGCCCTTTCAAGCCGCTATTAAACTACCAACATGGTCGACTTTGGGTGTAGTTTCCTTTATTAGGATCCAAAAGCAACCGTAACTGCCCACGTCTGTCCGCCCTGTGTATCCACCATGACACGCCGCGTTTACACCAGCAGGTTTTCCTTCCTCCAATGGCACCGACTCACGCAAACGCACTTGCCACCGAGGTCGTGCAAAAGCGCATGGCACAGCGACATCACCTTTCGAAAGCTTTGGTTTAGTCTAATGAAGAATCAGTATTCTAATAAAGGTTTTTGTAGGGGAAAAGGAAGACCCTTCGATCTGGAGGTTTTTTGAATTCTTGATACGAGTTTAATAGAGGATTTTATATTGAATTTTGTTGAATGACTTTTTGGTTTTGAAGCTCTTCCCAGGTGACCCTATTTTGGACCCGAGTTTCTCTTATTAGGGGGGGTTTAATAGATGGACAGAATTAGAAGAGCAGATTGGTGTCTGGAGCTGGGTGTACTCGAGAAGACCATGCTAAACAACTTTTCACAGCTGTTCCCAACCGCCCCAGTATGGCTGCTGCTGCTGCTGCTTGGTGCACTCAAAGCACAGTGGAAAGTTCTGGAGGAGTAATGGAGAATTCTTCCACCCTCAAACCCCTCCCACGAGCCCCCCCGTGGACCACTCCTCTGGCGCACTGAGCCATTGCTGAACCTCTTCAGCCGTGCGCAGCGACAGATCCGTGTGCCGGGAAGCAGCCTAGCAAATCGAGGTGGATGGCTGAATCGGCGAAGGCTCTCAGTATCTTGCAGCAACTAACGGACCAAACCTCAAACTGAAGACGCAAACCTTAATGAGATGGGTAAAATATGACAACAGACCTGTGGCAGCCAGGTGTTGGTAGGGTGCAACCCTGATCTTTGCAAACAACCTCTTGATGGCACGTGAGCTACCAAAAATAAAAGCGTCCTTACCACCAGAACTGAGACTGTCCGACTGTTCCATCACCACTTTCATTCAAGGAAGACAAAATAACCCACGCTTTGTCCTCTCAGATCTAGTAACTAGCCCAAAGCGCCCAAAGCGCCCAAAGCGCCCAAAGGTGCGGGGGTTTCGGCCGTTTTGGAGCTGGTGGAAGTTTCCAGATGCGACCAAGACTTCAAGATCACTAGAGTCGTATGTGAACCTCACAGCCTCTCCCATCACCAAATGTTTACCCTTCGATATCCTTTGATCACTTTGGGAGAAGGACTCTCTCAGAATCTCTCAGAATTGCTACTTTCCCTCTAAAACGTAGACTCACCACCCGTGCTCGTTTTGGGGGATGCCGATGCCCCTTAAGGGCGCGCGCGGTCCGCGGTGCGCGCCATCTTTTCGGTAAGCGCGGCCTCGAAGCGGCCACGTGGCAGCTGCTGGAGGGCATCATGGCAACTGCTGCAACTTCCCAGGCAGTGGAGATCGCCCTCAAAAGGAATTGGCACCACGGACCGTCTGAGTGGTTCTTCTCTTTTGGAGCTCAGCGGTACAGTAGGTCTCCCCTTTTCTCGGGGGACGGCGGTGGGGGATCGATCCAGGTTTTCATATGTGACGTGCTGAAAAGGTGGATGGATTGGTTCGATGTACAAACCCCAAAACCAAGAGCTGTGCATGGAGTTTTGCCGAGCTGTGGGAATGGTTGTCACCTTGGACTCACGCTGTCACTCCTGTCTTGAGGCATGTGGCAATGCCGTTGAAAGGAACACCGACCGACCGGTGACCGTGCCTCGCGCTGGCCCAGGAAATACCTCAGCCGAATCGAATCACCGCTCCACCGAGAAGTGCAACAGAAGAGAATCCTCGAGCCTGCCCCACACTCATCTTTCGACTGCCTGTCAGAAGATGGAAGTCTGAAGTAGATACCCCGTAAACTTCTAAAAATTTAAAAGCTCCAGCACCGGTTCTACAATTAATCAAGAGCCGCCACGTGTCCATGAACTAACTACAACCAAGTCTGAAATCGTATCTAAGTACTTCACAACTCTTCAGATAGGGCAGAGGTCAGCAGCGCCGCTGTGACCAATGCAGCACCCATGGCTTCAAGTCATGATATAAAAAGAGCAAACACACCAGTGTCTCAAAGCATCTCTGTTCAGCGCTCCTCTCAAATCACCCGGAGACATCCCATGCCTTGTGGGTGGCCGTTCGGTTCTGCTGTAATACCCAATCGCATGCAGGTCAAATGGAAGGAAAAGGCAAGTCAAAGCTTGGAACCACACCCGTGGCCATGGCCCGTGGTCTGAATCGGTTTGGCCATTCGAATCTTACCCAGTCTGGGCTGTGCATCCACAGCTCTTCCGTTCCAAGTCTTCACGCAGCCGGCAAGCTGCGGAGTGAAGCAAGCTGCAGTTTTGCCACAAAAATCGGAACTTTTGAGGGTGGCCACATTTTCACCAAACCACAATAAAAGAAAACATGAAACGGGAACATCAAATACACAAATGTGGCTGTTAATCTTTTGCTAGATTAGGACACGGCTGCAAGTGACTGCAAAATGGAGACTCAAAATGCGCACCTCCTGCGAGCTCAATGCGAATTTGGCTGGGTGTGTAAAACCAACCTTCTGGGGCTCTTCAAAGATTCTGTCATTCATGATCAATGCACCACAAGGCCATCTGAGAGTTCATGTTGGGCCACACTTCCATCTGCGGAACACCCCTTTTCGGATTCACGCGGCCCCAGTGCCAAGAGTCTCAGCAGCGGTCCCCAAGCGTGGAGAAATCAATGCAACTGCAGCCAGTTTGGGCCAAACAGGCTTTGCAAAACCCCGCGATCCACACTCCGTCTCTGCCGTTTGAAGCTGCAAAGGGGCCCATAGAGGCTTGCACACTGGGGGACGTGGAGAGTGGACTGCAAAGCTGCAAAGCAAAAGGAAAGGACTTCCTCGGGTGAAGCGAAAATCCACGAAAATCGGGCAGGTTGTGCTCGGCAGCTTCTGCTCGCCTCGGAACCAAAAAAAACCAGGGATGACCCGAGAGGATCTCCCAGTCCGGCGCGGAACTGGGGGTGTTGTCTACCACGGACGATCAATGGCGACGGAGGGCTCTCAGTCTGGGAAGCACGGGGATCTGTGTCTGGGAGGGTGGAACTTGAGAATTGTGCCATCTCAATTGCTTGGGCACCCACTGCACGGAGATCACTGACCGGATAAATGCGCTTCACACAAACAGAATAGAAGCGAATCATGCTACTCAAAAGGACTGCTGAACACCACAAGGTGTTCATGTTGAATGCCCACGTTACCTCTTCACATTATGCAACAAACACCATGCTCGAGAACAATCAAAAGAACCATCTCCCTTGCGCCCCACGTTCTCCACCGAGCCTCATGTTTACCTTAGGTCAAGGCATGCGGCATGTTTCTCATTGTCACATGCACGCAAAGTCGTCGACAGGCCGCTAAAGCTCAAGCCGGGAATCTGAAACAAGGAAATGAAAGCTCACTAGTTGGTGGGGAGCGCTTCCAAGTGTTGATTTCCTCACATTGACAAGCGAAATGTAACTGCGTACCCACACCATCTCAGCTGCTCGCCCCATGTCCCAACATGGCGGTAAAATATGGCTTCAAATCAAGAGGCTTGTCGTTGAGAGCGGCAACACCTGCACACACAGCCCCACCAACCCAGCTGATTCCAACTCTGCAAGTTTGGTTGAAACCTCCGACTTCAAGTCAATAAGCAAGTCTTTTGGATCAAATATCCAACAGGCTGGAGAGAAGATTCTGTGATCGTCTTTGTCTTCGTCTTCTTATCCTTCTCCTTCTTATTATTCTTCTCCTTATCCTTCTCCTCCTCCCTTCTTCTTCCTCCTTCTTAATCATCATCTTCTCTGTGTGCCTTCTCTCTCTCCCCCCGCTCATGCTCTCTCTCTCTCTCCCCCCCCCGCTCTCTCTCTCTCTCTCTCTCACTCTCTCTCTCTCTCTCCCCCTCTCTCCCCCCTCTCTCTCTGTGTCTCTCTTTTTCTCTGCAAAGTTAGAGGATGAGGAGTAACAAACGCATGTCGGTGAAACCTTTGCTGTACAGCTTTACGCGGATGTTGCCTCCAAGGTAGAGCAAGTAGGAAGGGTTGGTGCTACGTAAAATTCTTATGAATTCTCTATATAATTCTCTACTATTACTGTAACGTCCAGAACACCAATGTCAATGCTCCCATAGAAGAAAGCTGCACCAAAGGGATGTCGTCGAGGTCTTCTGGAATTTCCAAGCGACTTAAAGTTCTCCCCGGTCTTTCCCATTCCTCCTGTCACTCTAATTCATCGGCCTTTGAAAAGGTGAGTCAAAGCCCAACTCCGATCCAAAAGTGAATGGACACGCAAAACTCCACACAAGAATCCCACCGCCCAACCAAGCGTTCCTGCAAAACAAAAACAAACACATGGAGTCATCGGCGCAAGGAGCTGCCACGCCTGGCAGCTCCTTGCCCTCCAAGAGCTCGAGAGAGGCACCGCCGCCCGTGCTGCAATGGGTGACCTGCCCCGGCACGCCCCGGCACGTCGAGGCACCCGCACGTGCACGCGGCGCACACCGCGGTGTGCGGGACCGTCGAGTCGGAAGGTCCTTCCACTCAAGTTGGCAGGAGTGGCCACTGCCTTAAGAGTTTGATTTGACTTCGTGTTCACAGCAGCAGATTGATTCTTTCATCTTCTACATTTGCTGATGTGACTCCCCAAAAAGAAACCATTTTCCCCTCGGCGTGCCCGGCGCCTTGTCCTCGGTGTCGTACTTCTTGCAGGCGGTCGCGGTGTCGCCACCGCCGATCACCGTGATGACGCCAGCAGCGGTGGCGGCGACCACGGCGTCCATGAGCTTCTTGGTGCCTGGGGAAACCCCAAGAACCAAAGAACTCTCTTAGGATATCAGTGATATGAGGGTGGGCAGGTCGCAAGAAACAACAAAACCGATGGGACGCTACCGTTTCCACTCGAAATTTGAGGGAATTGAGTGAAGCGGGCCAGAGTATCATCTGGTGCCGCAGGAGGCACCAACAAAAGCTTTCGAATCCTTGCCCGTCCCAGTCCCAGCCTGTCTCGAATTTGGCCATCTCAAACACACCCATGGGGCCGTTCCAGATGATCGTCTTTGACTCTGCAACGGCCTGTTTCAGAATGGTAAGCCATCAAGCTTGCAAGAACAAACACTTGAATGCATCTTGGATCTACAAATCTAACTTCCCGCAAGTCGCAATTCTCCCATTCAACTCACTGAACAGGTTTCGGAAGTGATTGCGCACACGGTCATCTACTCGTCCTTTCCTGTAGCACGGTGCGCACTGGCGAAGATCCTTTTCGTCACCTGGCTCTCGCCTTGGCGTTCAGCTCGATGGATGCTGGGCCGCAGTCCAAGCCCATGAAGCCCTCTGGAACGCCATCCGCCTTGACCACGCCTCGTGGAACCCGCAGGTGTCTCGTGGGCGCAGTGGAGGAGTTTGGCCACAAAGAACATGGATTTCCCACTGAAAAACCTGTTGTACATCGGCTGCATCATCTTATTGTCGGCTCCTTGAGACAACTGTCTGGCTATCTTTCAAGAAGGGAACCTCCTATACATCCCCAAAATGTGTTCCGCCTTCCTTGATCTCGCCATCCTCGCCGAACTTGGAGGAGCAGGTGAAATCCACCGGGAGGATGATCTCCACACCTTGCTTGCCGACCGCGTTCGCGCAAAACGGGCATCCTGGAGTCTACGAAGCCACCGCAGGTGCACTCCCCGATTCCCAACAGAGTTCAATTCTCTCTTCCTCAGATTTCCGACCGAACAGCTACGTGGACTTAGTCATCATTGGTGCTACTGCTACCCCCGTTCAAATCCTGAAAGCCAATTGATCAATGGATCAAGCTGTTTGGGTCAGATTCTCTCGAAGTCACAGCGAACTACCTCAACACGTCTCTCCCGACTCTCCACTCCACGCCGCACATCCACGTTGTTGTCCCAGTGGCCCAGCTTTTCGGCCTTCGCCAAGATCTCTGGAACGATTTTCGCACCTGCCCAGGAGTGCCGAAAGAAGTGTCAAAACCGTGATCCAAGACCTCCAACTAAGCTCAACAGTGATATGAGTGTATATCAGGATATATCAGTCAGAGTATATTTCCAATCCAGCATCCAGGTCCACTTTCCATCTGATAGTGCAGGCATCAACAAGTGATTGCCATTGCCTATACCGATCTGCTAATCCTCCACAAACCTCAAAATGAATTCTGGGTAGGCTTGTTCCGGAGCAAATGTGACCACTTCCATGTGGCTTTGCAGATTCGGCAGGCCGCTGGAGATGCCTGGTCTAGCAATCAAAGAATCGTAGCGAACTGGATCGTGACATACTCCGCCAACAGGTCGCATAGGTGGGCGCGATTCTGCATACCTATCTGTTGTGTAGTAGGGATCTCCGATTGCAACACGAGCAAGAAGCATGGTTCCCATCATGTCAGAAGATGCTGCTTTGAATTGCCCGCTTGGGGTGGCATATTGGGCACTCTTGCATGTCTGTGCTGCAAAGTAGGTCCCTTTGCCATAGAGCCCACTACTTTTTGCAATGCGGCTGTCGAAGCCTTCCCTTGCAATGTCCTTGGAGTCCTCCCATGTCCGCGTTCCATGGAACAAAAGGATCTCATTCCCCGCAAGGTCAACGTCAATCTCTTGAGCAAACTTGGTCAACGCGCCTCCAACTGAAGGATCAATGTTTGCAGGGGTGATGCCGTATTGCTTGCGCTTGTCACGGATGCTTCGAACACAGCGCTGATACTTCAGCCACAGGTGTCGATCCTTGACCTGATATGCCTCCATCAACCGAAACCTTGAGCGTCCATGCAAGCACGTGCATTGAGTCCCATCATGGCGCGTCATCGATCGGTTCAAAAGGTCTTCCAGACTTGACAGCACTTGGCGATCGACCACTTTAAATGTGGTCCGTGCGATTGGCTCTGCAACTGGCCCAGGGCTGAGACTCGTCTTCTCCTTCTTCACAAGTTGCAAGGCCTCTTCATCAGTCATGCACCAATGCTTGGGCAAATCAAAGAAGCAACGAATCTTTCGGACCTTGTTAGTCCGGGAATTCTTCTGGCTCTTCTGCACGAAATCAATTTCATATTTT